CTCCGAAAAGAAGGACAACGGTGAGTCAAGTGCCCCCAGTCAGCCCCCGCCCCTGCCCCCGCCCCCGCCCCAACGTAATGGTCTGTTTGTGGGCTACAGCTGATGTTAAACACACACACGTAAAACCCAGAAATCTAATCTGTAGGAAGACAAATATATAGAAATACATACAGATATATTGACGGAGCAGACCAGGCTGCTGTGATGTCAGAGGACGGTGGTGGGGGGGGTGTAATCTGTAATCCGTACCTTTCCTCAGCAGCTGCTGCACCGTCAGATTACATCGACATCTGCTGTGGCTTAACAACAGTATCAGAAATCCACCTGGGGCGCAGCCCCCAGTGCAGTCCACGGGCCACGGGTCCTGAGGTGACCTCACTGCGTGGCGTGGTGTGGCGTGGTGTGGCGTGGCGTGCTGCAGTGGCTCACGTGCAGCCTGACAGGGGATTTGTGACCGTCCGTGTCCTGGTGTCCCCTGGTGTCCCCTGGTGTCCCCTGGTGTCCCCTGGTGTCCTCTGGTGTCTCCGGGTGTCCTCTGGTGTCTCCTGGTGTCCTCTGGTGTCCCCTGGTGTCCTCTGGTGTCTCCGGGTGTCCTCTGGTGTCTCCTGGTGTCCTCTGGTGTCTCCTGGTGTCTCCTGGTGTCCTCTGGTGTCCCCTGGTGTCCTCTGGTGTCTCCTGGTGTCTCCTGGAGGACACTGGCTGGTGTCTCCTGGTGTCTCCTGGTGTCCTCTGGTGTCCCCTGGTGTCCTCTGGTGTCTCCTCCTCCTCCTCCTCTAACGTCTCCTTCCTCCCTCAGAGAGACTGGCTGAAGGAGAGTTCATCCAGGGAGTGATCGAGAACCAGAACGCCGTGCGTCTCATCTTCTACGAACCAGTCAAACAGTAGTCTGTCCGACTACACACACACACACACACACAGACACACACACAGACACACACAGACACACACACACACAGACACACACACAGTGAAGAGTTGTTTTCTGTAGATTTTCTTCAAACTGATTCAATAACAAAGTTAATCTGGAAAAAACATTTAAAAAAACATTGTTTATTTGAAAGTCATCAAAACAAATTAAACGAACATCTCAACTCATTATGATCTGGTGTCTTCATATAAATATACATTAGAATATATATTTGTGTACATATGTGTGTGTGTACATACACAGTAAATATAAACCAATAGAAGTGTTTTGTTTGTCAAACTGTATTTCACTGAGACGTCAAATAAAAGAATACAATAAATCAGAGTTTTCACAAGTGTGTTTTTAACAACCGACAACAACCGACAACAACTGACAACAACCGACAACAACTGACAACAGCCGACAACAACCGACGACGACTGACAACAACCGACAACAACTGACAACAGCCGACAACAACCGACGACGACTGACAACAACCGACAACAACCGACAACAACGGACAACAGCCGACAACAGCCGACAACAGCCGACCACAACTGACAACAACTGACAACAACCGACAACAACTGACAACAGCCGACAACAACCGACGACGACTGACAACAACCGACAACAACCGACAACAGCTGACAATGACTGACAACAGCTGACAACAGCCGACAACAACCGACGACGACTAACAACAACCGACAACAACTGACAACAACCGACAACAGCTGACAATGACTGACAACAGCCGACAACAGCCGACAACAACCGACAACAGCTGACAATGACTGACAACAGCTGACAACAGCCGACAACAACCGACGACGACTGACAACAACCGACAACAACTGACAACAACTGACAACAGCCGACAACAACGACAACAACTGACAACAACCGACGACGACTGAACTTAACTGGAAACTGAAGCTACATGTGGTTCAGTTTTAACCAGTTGTTGTAAATATCTGAAGAAGTAACAAATCTGTGTGTGTGTGTGTGTGTTTCTTTCATGCTAACCCCCCACTACACCCCCCCCCCCTCAGGATTACAGCCCCCACATAATCTGCTGTTCAACAACCACAGGACAGACTTTGAAAATCTCTGTAATCTCAGCTCCGTGTCTGAGTCGACTGTCACTGCTGCTGCTGCTGCTGCTAATAACACTGCTGCTAACAACGCTGCTGCTGCTACCACTGCTGCTGCTGCTGCTAACCCTGCTGCTACCACTGCTGCTGCTGCTGCTAACCCTGCTGCTACCACTGCTGCTGCTGCTGCTGCTACCACTGCTGCTGCTAACACTGCTCCTGCTAACACTGCTGCTGCTGCTGCTGCTAACACTCCTGCTGCTAACACTGCTGCTGCTGCTCTTCACTGAGGTGGTACTGCTCAGTGACACCAAAATACTCTCAGATACTCGCAGCTGCTCTGAACACAGAAAACAAATGTGTTATAAATGTTTCCAGTCATAACATTACTAAAATGGGCCACAAGGTGGCAGTAGTGCTTAGCCCACTGTGGCCAAATACAAATATCGGGTAAGACAGCGCCCCCACGTTCTCCTTGAGTGTGAGTTTCCTCCCGCAATCAAAAGGAACACATTAAATAAATACATGTTTTAATTTATTTATATATTTCTATACATGTCAGTGTAACATAAACAAACAAACAAACAAACAAACAAACAAACAAACATAAACGTCAGGAGGTCAGTGTCTGTAACAGTTCATACTTTATATCTATAAATATACATCTATACATATATACTGTGTACATATAGTACATGTACACACATATACTGTGTACATATAGTACATGTACACACATATATAGTACATGTACACACACTGTGTACATATAGTACATGTACACACATATACTGTGTACATATAGTACATGTACACACATATACTGTGTACATATAGTACATGTACACACATATACTGGGATATATCCGATAATGAAAACTCAATAATTCAACGCCTGGGTTTCGTCAAATGATGACTGCTCTAAAAACAGTTGCCCCGGCGACAGACCAATCAGACGCCTCGGTCTCTGAAGAACTTTTATTGAAACACAGCTGCCCCCCCCCCCCCCCCCCCCATTCTTGCAAACTATTAATTATAAAAAACAGCCTGGAAGCCTCTAATTGGTCAGAGAGTTTCCTATTACTTGAGTCAAATTCCTCCAGTCACTAGGTGGCAGCATCTGTATTAATACTCAGGTGATGCTGAACATCAAGCCACTGGTTTGGGTCCACTGATTGGTCAGATACCTCCAAATACCTAACAGGGCGACTCAGCTGGACCCAGCTTGACCTCCACCTGGTCCACCTGGTCCACCTGGTCCACCTGGTCCACCTGGTCCACCTGGTCCATCTCTCTCTCACAGTCTTCACACCTCTCTGGTCCACAGCCTCCGACCAGAACAACCGTGGGAACATCTCCGTTTCCAGTTCCAGCCGTGCGTCCGTCTGCGGCCCAGCCCACCTGGACCAGGCCGTCTGGACACTGCAACAGGTCAGTGACAGAACAGAGCCCCCCCCCAGGAACCACCTCATCGTAGGGCGGGGCGTAGCTGCTGGCTTCCACCTCCTCCAGCCGTAGTCTCCGTCTGCGGCGGAGCTCGATGACGGTCTTGGTGTAGGAGTTGAGAGTGACCACCGCGGCCGCCATGCAGCAGCTGAAGGAGACCCAGGCCAGGCTGGAGGGAGAGGATGAGAGCTGCAGGTCAGAGAAGAAAACCACCAAACACCAGACCCTCAGCCGCTTCTCACTGGTCACCTACGCAAACGACCAGCCGTAGTCCCAGGACTGAGGTCTCCAGTCCTTGGGCCCCACGATGACGGTCATCTGAAAGACGGTGGTGTACATCATGTGGGCGACCATCCCCATAAGACCTGCGAGGAGGGAGTGACCGACAGGGAAAACAAACCATCATCACAGAGAAATGACTTCCTCTGACAGATCAGGGTAAAAGGTGAGTGTTCGTGCGCAGCAGCGCCACCTTGTGTCTGTGTTTTCTTTCTTCTGCTGGTTCTTTGTCAGTGATGGGTGTCTTCACTGTCAACTGACCACCAGTACGAGTGTGAGTGTGGATGGTAGTTTGTTTTTATGTGTTGACCTGTCGTTGGCTAACAAACTGTCGAGGGCGTGGCCTAACCATGTGACTAAGGCAAAGTCCACCTCCGCTGCTGTGGTCTGTAGTGGTCTGTAGACCGTCTCACCTGACAGAACAGTACAGATGGCGGCGAAGGCGTTGATCTTCAGTGAGTTCATCTCTTTAGAGAAACACAGAACCTCCAGCCACATCAACAGGAAACCCATTCCCAGGAGACCGATGTACATGAACTCTGACACCAACGACAGCCAGAGCACACCTGGACACACACACAGTAGGTGTCAGTGTTTCTCACGTTTTTTATCTGTGACTAATCCAGATGATGGGATTATTAATCTATACACACACACAATCACACACACAATCACTCACTGACTGCAATTAAGTGCAATTAATAAAGTAACTTGTCCTGTTCTTCACTGGAACAGACAGTACCAACAGCAGCAGGTAGGTGTCAGTGTTTCTCACGTTTTTTTATCTGTGACTAATCCAGATGATGGGATTATTAATCTGGATAAATGTCCATAAAATGTCCAACAGTCAGAGGTGTCTTTCAGTCATTCAGCTGTATAGATATGGTACCGATGACAGAACCGATGACAGAACCGATGACAGAACCGATGACAGAACCGATGACAGAACCGTGTTCCCGCCGACCTCTCACCTTGTGTTTCCACAGGAGTCAGATCGATGAAGCTGCGACATTCCTCACCTGATGATTAGATGAAGGTGGAAAATCACATTTTTTCTGGAAAAAACATCTCGACTTTGAAGTACAAGTGTTAAAACGCTGGGCTCCAGTCTGATGTTGACTG